TCCCACTCATTCTTGGAGCCCGTTTCATACTGACCACCTCCGCCCCCACTGTGCAGCCCACAGACCCCCGTGGGAGCGCTGCTCTCCTCGCTCATGCCACCCCCTGCCCCAGGTTAAGTGCGTAAGAGCTTCAGCCCTAACACCTCAGTCACGTCCCACATGGCAGGCGGGGACTCTACCGCAACGCTATCATTTAGCTGGATGTTGTGTTTACAGGGAAAAAAAAAAAAAGATGATAGAAAAATACTGGGGGAAAATAAAAAGGTTTTAACCGTCCACTGAACAAAGGGAGGACACACACATCATTAAAAATGATGATAATTACAGCATAAAAACAAACTCCAGAAACACACGTCAGAGGGCTCGGACCCCCCGGCCCTCATCCTGACCTCTGTCAGAGGCGGGGACCCACCTCGCTGGGAAAGGAAACCGGGGAGCCAGCGCGGAGCAGACGGCAGCAGTGTGGACGAGCGGGCGGCGGGGGCGGGGCGTGTGTTCTTGCTGATTTCTATGTTTTGTCTTCTCTGTTTTGTTTTCCGTGTATGGTAGGCACCAGTACAGGCACTGCATGCGACGGAAGTTGGGGCAACAGGACGGGAGAGGGTAAAGGATTCGAGGCTGGGGCAGCACGGGTGAGACGGGCGTTATTTCTGCCCACTGATGGACTGCGATATAGACCGCGGCGGGATCATGTCTAACAGGTACTCCCGCTGCCGGTCTGCCAAACTGGGGGCTTTGTGTCCTCCGATGCCAGTGTTCAAGTACGCGATGTTGACACCTGGACCCAGGAGACAAAAGTGGGGGCGGACATTAAAGGAGGAGCTGATGCCGTCTGCACCGCCCGGGGCTGCAGATCTGGAGATGGGAGAGAACATCGGGGGCCGCCCGCTCCTGTCCAGACTCTCAAGTTCTATGTCAGTGCAACTACCCTCCGCTCTCGAGGTTTATGGAAAGAGGTCCTCCTGAAGCTCCACTCCTCTCGGGAATAATGGCACAGGAGAGTCGGAGAAAGCAATGGCGACAGAAGATGATCACGACAGAGATGAAATCGCTGAATCTGTTTGGGTTCGGGGGCTGCTGACTGGGGAGAGCGGTCCCTGGGGGGCTATTCGCACAG